GAGAGAGAGAGAGAGAGAGAGAGAGAGAGGCCGTGGAGGGTGAGAAGGGATTTTTTTTTTTTGTAAAAACAAATCACTTCATAATGAAATTATGTGTTTTTGATATAATGACATAGAAACTACTAAAAATCAGCTCCACTGAGGGGCCCCTTAGTGACTCCAAGTGGCTGCTTAGTTTGCTTATGCCTTGGGCCGGCCCCTGGATCCAACGCTGCGTCTGATTACAATGTTTTTCCCTGATCTGTGCAACTTACAAAAAATAAATAAAATCCATCCGGAGCGCTGTGGCAGCCATCTTTACTGCCGTAAACAGAGCGCTGCTTGGCGACGGCTATGTTCTTCTTCTTGGGTCGGTTTGTTGTCAGAAAGCGTTCAGAGTCTGATGGCAGTTAATCAGTATCATTAACAAACACCGACTCTAACCTTTTAGTTTTTTTATTATACTTTGGTTTTATTTCGTTGTCTAATTCAGTTAATTTGTTAGTTTTTACTGTTTCCTAAATATGCTTTAGTTTTTATTAGCTATGTTTTAGTTTTTTATAGGTGCAGAATTCAAAACGGCCATATTATTGTGATTATGTTTACATCAGTTGGGTTATGAAGACTCAACAGGAGATAATAAAATGCGTTCAGCTGCTGAACAACTAGCGTAGAGCCGCAGGCGGGAAATGGAGCGCCGCGATTTACAGATGATGTTGGGTTTGTTTCACTTCCTCAGATTCATCAACATGAGAACAAAACATTTTATCTGAAATCTCAGAGTTTTAGTTTTACAAACTAAATGTTTTTATTTCAGTTAAAAATATTTACTCAACTTCAGTTTCTGCTGGTTTTCAGGTCAGAGTCTGTGTAATTTATTCTACAGGAAGCTGCGTCTGGGTCCGGTCCATTTGATTTTACTGCGGTTCTGGCCAACAGAACTGGGCTGTGGAGGCGCCAAAGAGAAACGGTACCTGAATGCAGCCAGTCAGAAGATCAGAGGAGGCTCAGAAGAAAACCTGCAGGAGGGAAGCAGACGGCGACAGCAGAGAGACGCTGGAGAACCGGGACATGGACCGGACTAGGACACGGACCACGGACTGGACCAGACCGGACCGGACCTGGACCGGGACTGGACCGGACCGGACCCGGACCGGGTCAGGCCAGAGGGACCGACTCATGCCTGGTTCTGCAGCAGTACCAGTATGAAACGGTCGTGCGGTTCTGGGCCTCCAGGTTCTCCTCTAACGGACCAATCAGCTGGAAGCTCCGCCAGGTGAACATCTTCATCATCATCAGAACTGAGATAAAGTCTGATTTCATTTTTAATCTGATCTTTTATTTTATTAATCTGGGAAAAAAAACTATAATTCAGATTCGTCCATGTTTAGACCTGAAGACACTTTGGACTGGCTGGATTTAATTCATGTTTTTACATCATTCAATATGTAATAAATAATAAACTAATCTATTTTTAAGTAATATTTTAACAACATAAAACTGAATTTCTTAGTTTTATTGATGCTTTGCAATTATGCCAAAACAGTGATTTTTTTTTATTTCAATGAAATTTGTGAAATTAAAATTTTATTAAATTTGTTGAATAACTAATGCTGATTTTAATATATCAGTTATTCTTATTTAATATTTTTATCCAAATATTAGAACTGAATTTGGGAATTTCCTTTTTAATTTTCCCAGAATATCTATTTTTTGATTTTATTCTATTTTTGTTTATTAATTTGCAGCAACTTAAGCTCTAATGTGCCAAGATTACTGGTGAGTTATTGGTGAGTTATTGGTGAGTTCTCACCTCCAGCGCCGCCTTCTGGACCGTCACCTGGCTGAAGACCCGCCCCCCGTCGTCGGGACAAACCGTCTTCAGCTCTTCCTTGTTGAGGGAGAACAGCTGGGCTCCGGTCAGAACGCCCAGGCTGCTGATGGTCCTGCAGAGAAACGGCAGGGGGTCACGACCCGGTCCGGTCCAGAGACCCGGTCCGGTCCGCTGCACTCACACTGGGCTGAAGCCCTTGGCCTCCAGCCAGGCCTTCACTTCATGTGGTGGAGAGTCGTAGGTGATTCCTGGAGCCGGCAGGTTGCCGCTGTTGCTCCGAGACGGAACCTGGAACTTTTTCTGCGTGCTCCGACCCAAAGTCAGCCGGTGGACCAGCTCGTCCTGGACCTCCTCCATGTTGGACTTCCTGCCTGCAGAACCAGAACCACATGACATGAGAGAGTCACAAAAACACAAAGCTGAGCTAGAGTCTGGAGTTATCAGACAACATTTTCCTCATAATGGCTCAACTTCCTGTCCATAGGTTCCCGTTTACAGCTTCCTGTCTATACAGCTTCTCGTTTACAGCTTCCTGTCCACAGATTCCTGTTTACAACTTCCTGTCTATAGGTTCCCGTTTACAGCTTCCTGTCCACAGCTTCTCGTTTACAGCTTCTCGTTTACAGCTTCCCATCTAAAGCTTCCGGTCTATACAGCTTCCCATTTACAGCTTCCTGTCTATAGCTTCCTGTTTACAGCTTCCTGTCTATAGCTTCCTGTTTACAGCTTCCTGTCTATAGGTTCCCGTCTACAGCTTCCTGTCTATACAGCTTCCTGTCTATAGGTTCCCGTCTACAGCTTCCTGTCTATAGGTTCCCGTCTACAGCTTCCTGTCTATAGGTTCCCGTCTACAGCTTCCTGTCTATAGGTTC